TTAAAATTAACGACGAAAACGGACTAAAAGAATCGTTAAAAAAAGTGATAGAGGATTTTTTTCCTAACAACATAAACTTCAAGTCACCTACGAGTATGCAAGGACACATTTATAAAAGTATTGAAAAATATCGCGAGAAACTTAATAAGTTGCTGAACAGTAAGTAGAAGTTTTAATTTAATTTAGTAAATCGTTTATCGTTCGATTATTAATTAAATTTAAAGTATTTTGTATTTACTAATCACATAATCTTTTTAAAGAGAAATTCGATCTAACGACCTGTAAGAAAGAATTGTTGGCAATTGTAAATGAATGTTCATCGTCTACTTCCAAAAGTGAAATACAACCTTCGTTGGAAGATCTCTGCCCGTGGCTTTACAATTTCAAGCCCCACGATGACCAAGAAATCGAAATACCAGGTCAATATAAAGGAGACAAATTACCTTTACCCCAGTATCACGTAAAAATTGTTGGTTTCGCTCCTGAGGTATATTTTATTAATATTTATATTATTAAATTAAACTTAACGATTATTTGGTTTCTTTTATTAAATTTTGAATTTCTTTGGGATTTAGAAAATACCACAAATGGCGCGGTAAACGCCATCTGTAGCACGATGCTACATTTTAGGATTACGTATGCTCCGCGATCGCGATCCGCGTCTGGCAGTTCGACCACTTCGAATAATTTTATTCTTTGGGATTTATTTCTGAACTTACACAGACCTCTGCATTATAGATTAATGTCATGAAATCAATTCGAAAACCCATCAAGATTTCCATATTGGGGTATGATGCTAAAGAATATCCATTTTTGGTTAAAGCTGGTGAAGATTTACGACAGGATCAAAGAATAGAACAGCTATTCTGCTTAATGAACAACGTTTTAATTTCTGATACTAACTGTAACCAACGGCAATTGCGTATTCAAACGTATGAAGTAAGTTAAACTTTTATTTATAAATTATACAATCTGAGTACATTATTTCCTCTACTGATTCAACATGATGTCATCTTAATGTTGTTCTTTGTTACTTGATTTATCAATGTTTGCCTTTATCAATGTCCGAGTTTCACATTTTGGGATTCTCAGATAAATTACACAATATTAGTATCAGTAGTTTCATATTGATGAAAGGAGTTCCTACTAGTTTGATTCTAAAACTAATTTCTTGTGAGTGGTAAGCTTTGGCGTTTATACTTCTGTCTAAATATATATATTCCATAATTCACTTCTTCTAGTTGTGCAGCTTTCATTTTGATGCTTGCCATAGGCTGATAGGCTTTTTGTTAAATACCATCACATTCGTTTTTTGTAAATTGAGTATTACACTTAATAGTTATTTTTAACAGGATAATTTTTAACAGATCTGAATATTACAATTATTACTTTAAGCATGTTTGGGAGGTAGAATCGGAGACAAAAGTACATAAAATTAGAAATTCGTGATTAATTAGGTTTTACAGCATATCATGGGGTAAATAAATACTATCTATACAAAAAAAAAAGTTTACGGTTTGAGAGAAAATTTTGAATTTGACCAAAAACTTTGAATAAAATAAGAAATAACGAATAATATGGAAAATTTTTAACTGACTTTTGGCAGTGAATATGCCTTGATTTCAACTTCGAAACAAAAAAATATTTAGTTTCAATCTCTATTAATAATGAGCGTAAAACTTTTTAATATGTTTAAATAATAATTAAAACTTTAAAATTGCATTTATTTCAGACAATTATAAATATTATCAT